CAGGTTTTCCAGCTACGTCCATGAACATGTTCTTCGACTCTCACCTTGTTTGAAACCCCCGGTTCTCAGTGTCCACCTTCCGTTTTGCCATTTTTGATGGGAATGTGAAAGCTAATGTCACTGTTATGGGAACGACTGTTAGACGAATAAATATTTAAATAAAGCGGCCGACTGCTTGGCGCGTCACCGTTGCATTGTGGGAAATGTAGTTTTGGTGCGTGTAAAAGATCTGCGGGCTCTCGGCTTGCTGCGGTCCGCGGGCCGGTTCTAATAATAAATCAATATCATCCCAGGGGCCACTGAAAACATTCTCGCGGGCCGGATTTGGCCCGCGGGCCGGCACTTTGACATATGTGCTCCAGAGTATAAGTCGCACCCCCGGCTAAACTATGAAAAAAACTGTGACTTATACTCCGGAAAATATGGTAGTTAAAACATTTTTTACCCACAGGTACAGATGACGACTGACGGAACCCTTTCTACGATGGAACCCTTTCTACGACTGAGAGCCTCCACAAGCATAGTTAAAACAAACTTAACCCTATCATGCAGCCTGTAACCTGGCTACATGATAAGCTGTCCACTCGAGTAACCGCTGTCCCTGAAAGGGTTAATTATATAGTGGGTCCTTAGAGCAATGTTTGCCAACCTCTATTGAAGCAGGGCACATAATTCACATTGAAAACTCGCAGCATGCCACTGTACAAAAAAGTGGATGCATAGTTTATTTTTGTACTTCTGTCATCCATTGGAAGAGCATTTAACCTTTCTGCCTGTTAGTGAGTAGGTTCCCTACCCCTGCTCTATGTCGTTGGCAAATGAAAATATATTTTTCGTGGTAAATAAATAATATTTTCGTCCAAAGTATGTGACATTGGATAAATTCCCACGACACACTCATGTGCCACGGCACACTGGTTGGGAATCACTGCCTTAGGGTATGACGTAGTACTATATTTTGGCAAGGAAAACATTCGTAACTACCATACAAATATAAATAAGTTAATATCAAAACCAAATACCAATAATGCTCTGTTTCATGGCAATTCCTGCATTTCACGTTAAAAAATATTGTTTGCCACTTTAGCGGTTCATACCACAAAGTGAATAAATAGCATTCCGATCAGGAGCTGCTCTTGATGAAAAGTTAACCCCTTTCAGGGACAGTGGTTTCTACAGTGAAGAGCTTATCATGTTATCAGGTTACAGGTTATCATTATTGGTGCATGAAAGGGTAAAATAATTTGAAGCCAAGACTGTAATACATACATTTTGAGTTATCTGACTAACACTATAGGATTAACATATTTATGGTCCAAATTCATGACCAGTTCATTTCTTACCAGCTGAGTGTTGTTCGATACAAGGTTCCAGATGATGGTGTTTGTGCTCAGGTCGCTCCCAGGCACCGTGTTGTATGAAGCCTTCAGGATCACCATCTGACCCTTCAGCACATCCAAATGGGTTTGGGGCATCAGGATCTCTGCCCAAATGCCTGCATGCACAGGGATGGAAAAAGAGACAAATGAGTGAAGAGGAGTCCTCTCTTCATTAGCCTTCGCTCATACTGACTGACTCTCTATATTCCCCCTTTCCCCCCCGTGAGAATACATTTAAATAAAAAAGCTAAATTAAATAAGTATCACATTGACACACTGACAAATGTGAGTTGCAATCATTGACCTTCGTTTGGCAGAGTATTCATGAGTATCGGATGGCACATGAAATATGATGACAAAAACAATCCATCAATCCGTTTTTAATACCGCTTGTGCTCATTGGGGTTGTGAGTCATCGGAGGCTGTCTGAGATGATACCCTGGATTGGTCTCCAGTCATTTGCAAGGCACATGGAAACAATCAAGCATTCACACAGACGTATTGGGCACACTTAAGGGCTGTTTTCGGTCTTTAATTAACCTGAGAAAATTGGGAGCATGACAAGGTCATTTGACCCAATTCAAGCGTTCATGTACTAGGTTGTACTGTGAAGCGGTGGCCAGAGAGGGGCAGCACAGAGCTTCAATACAGTTGGTCCTCACTCAACTGAAGGTCAGTCATAACTGTAATCATAGAAATATGAAATGCATATCACATTTTTGATAGGAAACACATTTGCTACTTGTGCAGCAGCACGTGCCTTAACCCTTTCAGGGACAGCGGATACTGCAGTGGACAGCTTATCATATTATCATGTTACAGGGTGCATGACAGGTTTAATGAAGATTTTGGCGTCTATGTCCTTAACTTTTCAGGGATTTTGATTGTGGTTGGTTCTTTGCTAATTGAAAATATATACTTCTGATCACTTCTATATGAATCTATTTTAGCAGTAAGAAAAACAAAATAAAATTCACAGGTATGGTTTGGAGAGGATACAAGACAGCAATACAGTACTAATGGTAATGATGGCATGAGTGTCCATAGGTGGGAGTTGTCATGCATTTATCAGTATGACTGACAGGTTGTGGTTACTTATGCAATAGATGGGACTCTTGCTAATTAAGGACATCAATACTCACCATCCTACACTGCTCTGCAAAAAAAAAGAGTAAAACTTCATCATCTTCATGAACAAGCATGCACCATGCATACATTATTAGCCTGTATCAATGCAAAGGAAGAGGCAAAAGTCCAGACGTTTTTGATGCTAGCAAATGTTGCAATCCTCTGTAATTGCAAACCCAAATTGAAAAGTGTCTTATTTTGTAGTAAAAGCCTCACGAGTAGCTCAACAAAAATCATGCTTCTGTGACAAGCTCGAGTCATCAGTAACTTGAAAAGTTGCAACTGATGTTGAAGCCGCCATCTCATACGATGACCAGACCCATTTTGTTGCGATTATTAAGATCGGAATTGTTCTGTGTAATGAAGGTAAAACTGCATGTTATTGATAGGTCAGTCAGTTTCTGCCTTTTATGCCTTGATGAGGGCCAATTGAATAGAACTGCATCAATGCCCCATGGAAAGAGATCTGAAGTGAGTAGGTGTAGCTATCAGTTACCTTGCCACTCTGGAGATAAATGAAGCAGATCAGTGGCAGCGGAGAGTGAATATGTAGGCTTAACTCCAGAGAGAATTGCATTAATTAAGTGCTATGCTGCTTTCGACAATATAGAGCAGGGATGTCAAACTCATGTGTGTCGCGGGCCATATTTTAGTTACCTTTTCCTTTGGAGGGCCGTTATGACTGAAACCATATAAAGAAGTCAAGAATAATGGTTTACTCCACTTTTTGTTTAAGTTACTGTCATGACGGGTTTGGTTCCAAGAAAATGCTTACAATATTCTTCTTATTTAATGAGGATGGGTATTTTACATTTTGGTACAGATTTTAGCTAGCATCATGGAAGTTGACATGTTTGATTTGCTTTTGCGGGCCTCATAAAATGAGGTGTCAGGCCGGATCTGGCCCCCGGGCTCTATATCACTGACACCAGTGATATAGAGCACATAGAACGAAAGGTTTTACAGAAGGGATAAAGTAGTGGTTAGCCGCTTCACAATGAGGAGCTCCGGGTTCGAGTCCCTGTGGAGTCTGCATGCTCTCTCCATTCTTTCCTTCCGCCACAAACCCAAACATGTATTTCAATTTAATGAACTCTTCATCTTGATTATCCTTATTTGTGACTGGTGACAAGTCCAAGGTGTAACCCTCCTTGCCACCAAATTTAGCTGAGATAGGTTTGTGTTACCTGACTGTAATAAGGACAAATGGTACCGAAAAATGGATGGCCCTGGCTCGATGTTTTGCCGGGAATTATGGGAAAACAGAACAGAGGCACTGGAAAAGAGGGATGCATGTGTTGACTGCTATTTAGAATCTTGGCAGATTTGCTGAAGGAATGACCTTGGTGATGAATGACACAGAGAAAGTTTGATGTTTAAACCAGTGGACATGTAAAGCTGACAAAAAGAGGCTTAATCATAAATAGCATGAGTGGCAGTGGACGGGTTCTCAAACGATTGCAGTGAGATTGAAAATGACTTCCCAGGGGGGCTACTATACGTCGCCACAAGTGAGAGTGGATACATAAAGGATTCAGTGACATGAACGATAACCTCCGACTTTCAACCATTATACCAAAAGATGTAGTGAATGAATGTAAACAGAACAGTATTAACCCTTTCAGGGACAGCGGTTACTACAGTGGACAGCTTATCATGTTATCAGGTTACAGGGTGCATGAAAGGGTTAAAGACCACGTAAAGCAAAAATGTGTCTTGCAAATCTGACACACCACAGTGAAGAGTCGTGTTAACAACCCCGCTAAGTTTTAATGAATAAAAAGAACCACCAAGAATATAATATGAGGCTTTAAAATGGTGAGAAATGAAGCCATTGTCACTGTCAAACGCTGTGGACATGTCCTTTCAATATACTTAAAAAGTTCAACTGTTAAATACCACCACAGTAAGCAGCAGCCTGTACGCAAACTATGGCTGACTGGTTAGCACATCCGCCTCACAATGCAGAGTTGCAGGGTTTGATTCCGGCTCCGACCTTCCTCTGTTGACTTTGCATGTTCTCCTCGTGCCTGTGCGGGTTTTCTCAGGGTACTCCGGTTTCCTCCCACATTCCAAAAACATGCATGGTAGGTTCATGCAAAAGTCTAAATTGTGCCTAGGTGTGATTGTGACCGTGAATGGTTGTTCGTCTATGTGTGCCCTGCGATTGGCTGGCAACCAACATATCCTCACAAGGGTCTCTGGTGTGCTGGAGCCTATCCCAGCTGTCTCCGGGCAGTAGGCGGGGTACACTGGTTGCCAGCCAATCGGAGGGCACACATTGACGAACAACCATCGGCGCTCACACCCACACCTTGGGACAATTTAGAGTGTTCCATTACCCTGCCATGCATATTTTTGGAATGTGGGAGGAAACTGGAGTACCCGGAGAAAACCCACGCAGGCATGGGGAGAACATGCAAACACCGCACAGGAAGGCCAGAGCCAGAATCAAGCCCTGCACCTCTGCACTGTGAGGACGGTGTACGAACTAGTCGACCACCGTGCCACCCTGTCCACATAAACATGCAATTTAATTTTAATGGCAGGAATTGCCAAGTATGTATCCAAGATGGGATGATATTGTTAGGAAAAGTAAGGATGTTGATTCAATCAGAGAAAAGGCATATTATCTCAGCAGTCAAGTAAAAAAAAAAAAAAAAGTGAAATATTAATGAATTCGTCAAGTAATTGCTGTCCTCGTAAACGAAGATAATGTGAGGTGCTAAAATGACTTCACTGATGGAAGGCAAACTCTTAGAATCCACGCCTAACCGGATTTCTTTAAGGCGAGATGTACATACACACACACACTGATCCAGAACATCTCAAACATGGTTAATGGATGACATATCCGGTGAGTATGCTTGTCGTGAAAGAACTGGGATGTTTTCAGTTTCCAGGAATTGTGTACAAAGATCCTTGCAACATCTGCATTACTTGGCTGTAACATGAGGTGATGCTTGTGGATGACTGGCACAACATTAGGCCTCATGATGTCATTTATTTCAAGGGACATTAACAATTTATAGTCCCATCACACAAAATACGACACATCATACAATAGAATAAAAAGGATGTTTTTTGTCAAAATGTCCAAGCATTTCGAGCTACGAGTTTTAGGCTACTCAAAAATGTCTGGGTTTTTTTTGTTTGTTTGTTTTTTCTTTTTACTGAACGCATTATAGAGTGGCTTTTAAAGTGAAATTGTACTAAACTCTTGTTAGGACATCTGGTTTGAGAATCTGTTGGACACAAATATTGTTGCCATCTGAAAAGAATACATAAAAAGTAAATAGCAAGCACTGACATAGACATGAGAGACGGACTGTTTTTGGTGTAACGCAATAAATTATAACTGACAATGGTTGTTTCGCAGCGGGAGGTAGAGTACTGAATCATAAAAGAGTCATGAGCTCAAATTAAATCACTTCTTTGAACATTCAGGAAACATACAATGCGTTTTAAAACGTGTCTTGTAAAACCACAAGCCTAATTTTTCATATTTTATATAAATTTTGTCGCTGCTAGAGCCATCACCTTTTTGTGGTGAAGGGGTTTCTGTGTCTCAGTGATCTGAGGAGCTCAGTTGTCTGGGGCTTGTATACTGCATACCCACATGTGCAGGATTAACACAAATACATTCTGTTTACTTACATGTCTGTCAATTTCTGTTTGCAATATTGTCTAAAACCCCTTGGTGGAAAAAAATAAGACAACAAATGCGAGTCTCAAATGAATGACTACAATGGTTGGAAAACTGAATGCGGTCGTACTTTGTGTTGGTAATGAGGACAGTCCAGTTGTTGGGAAAGGACACGAAGCGGCACATCAGCGCTGAGAATGGGATTAAACTGTCATCGCATTCCTCTGTTGAGTGAATTAGCGTCAGAGTCAAGTGTGTATTGTACACATGAGTTGCCCTGTGCTCTTTTGTGCAGCAATGGGGGCACAACATCAAGTGTTATTTCCCTTGATGAAAGTCTTT